AGTTTCCAAGCTTTTAAGAAGTTACTGAGAAATACAATTGACATCTTTTAAAAATTAAATAAACAGCAACTTAATTTAAACACACAAAACTCTGTTTTAATAATATATTCCTCTCTCTTTCTGGTCAATTATTGTCATGAAGTGTAATGAATACACTATGTTATAAACCAAGGGTGAGTATTGCTGAGAATGAAAATAACTTGCTTGGAGGTTTGAATAAAATGTTGGTTTAAACCCTGTCTCAAAAAAACCAAAAAGAAAAGAAGAAAGAAAAACTATACAATGGAGAAAAGAAAGCATCTTCAACAAATGGTACTGGTATAACTGGATATTAACTGTAAAGTAAAGGATAACTACGCTACAATCCTCAGACCTAGAAAGGCTAGGTAACAATGAAGGCCCAAGGGGGGTGATACATGGATCTCACGGGGAAGGGGAAATAGAGGAGATCTCCTGGGTGGACTGGGGGAGGGTGGGCATGGGAACTTGAGGGATCAGGTTTTGGGGGTGGGCGGAGGGGGACAGTGCTGAGAGAAATGACTGGAAAGGGGGGCTTTAAGGAGTTGGGTAGAAGCCTAATGCAAGAGAAACTCCCACAACTGTACAAGAATGGCCCCAGCTAAGACTCCTCGCAGCAGTGGATGCACAGTCTGAACTGGCCATCCCCTGTGATCAGACTGGTGACTGCCCTGTTGTCACTGGAGAGCCTTTATCCAGTGACTGATGGAGACAGATTCAGAGACTCAGGCCACACACTGGGTTGCACTCAGGGAGTCCTGCTGAGGAGAGGGAGGAGGGATGTTGGAAATGGTGTGTGTGGAGGGAGAGGGGGTTAGGAGCATTGCAGGAAAACCCACAGAAATCCCTAGCCTAGCTCACGGGAACCAGAGTCTGAAACAACAAGCAGGGAGCCTGCATGGGACCAACCTAGACCACAATGTGACAGTTGTGTAGTGTGGTCTGTATGTGGGACTCCCAGCAATGGGAGCAGGGCTGTCCCTGGTGCTTTGACTGGCTCTTGGGAACCTGTTCCTGTGCTGGATGGCCTTGCCCAGTCCGAATACAGGGGGAGGGGCTTAGTCCTATGGCAGTTTGGTATGCCATGCTTTGCAGAAGCCATGGGAGGCTTGTCCTTTTCTGAGCGATTACGGAGGAGGGGTGCATGTGGGGGGTGGGGGAGGAAGGGAAGGTTGAGGTTGGATTATAAAATAAATAATTAATTTAAAAAAAATCCACACAAAACAAAAAACAAAAATAAAATTGCTACATACATCTATGATTCATTTATATTCTATTCAATGCAATGCCGAGAGAATAAACACCAAAATAATAGGTATGATGTAAAATCAGAGCCCTTTAAACAGATACACAGCCAACCCCCCACCTTACCAGGCTTGTAAACAAGAAGTGGACTTCTAAGTTCCTTTAGTTGTCAAGGGTATTTGATTTGACAGCATTTTAGTTAATTATGCTCAATGAACTAATCACAAGAAAAGCAGCAGAGAGTTCCCCACATCTTTTCAATGTAGATGAGATTCCTTCTCATTTATAGTAGCTCTTCTGGCAGAACCAATTAGGCGAAGAGCAAACAGGAAAACGGGAGAATGAAATGAGATGACACAGACTGGGCAGGGGCAGAGGAGGTTAGAAACCTCAAGCGGGGGTGGGGGAGACAGAGTATCCTGCTGCCCAAATCTAAAGTCCTTATGATATCACATTTATCAAGTTCATATCCTGGGCATTTAAAGTCATAAAAACCAGGTTCCAGAGCAGTGGGTCTTGTTTTTCTGATGCAGCTGTCACCCCACTGTCCTGTTACTTCAGACGCTTTTCATCTCTTCAGTAAATCAGGTGTTCAGCCATCAAAACAGATGCCAACCTGGTCTCTCCCACTGTCTAGACCACATCTCCTTGCAGCACCAGAGTGGACATCCTCCCACTGCTGCTGCCTTACCCTTCTCATCCTGTACTCAGCACCGCCAGAGCCATTCCTCTGTCATCTGGGGTGATGACCCCCCTATTCACAACCTTCCAAGACCCCTCTCAATCAAAGTCCCCAGGAGAGCCCTAAAATCCTACAGAACTGGTCCCTCCTCCTCCTCCTCCTCTCCATCTCTCCATCTCTCCTGTTTTGCTCGGGTTACACAAAACTTCCTGCCAGGAATGATTGACCAGTCCCCACCCCCACCTGGGGCCTGTGAAGTCCCTGTTTCCTCTGTCCAGAACATTCCACATTCCCATGTCACTCTTTCTCCCTTTTTTTAATTCTTTCTTCGGATTCATTTTCTCTGTGAGGTAGTCTCTGGACAGTTTACTGAGATTTTCAGCTGGCAACACCATCACCCCACCATCACCCCACCCCCACCCCTCGCCACCTCATTTCCTCATCATCTCCCACAGCTTTTCAATACTTTAGTTACACTTCTGGCTGTCTCACTTCCCACCGGATGGCCAGTGGCACAGGACTTTGGTCCACAAGGGCCTATGAAGCCCTTGCTCCTAAGCAGCTCTGATGCAGAGAAAGCACTCGTAAGCACTGCTGATTTAGCTGACGAGGCTAACCCCACCCCGTCACATCAAGTGATGTGTCACCTTGTCGTGGTGGTCTTCCCCTCCATCTTCTGACTGTTCCAGATTTTCACTGTGCCGTCATTTGAACATGTTGCAAAAAGTAGGTGCTCATCAGAGACTCTAATTCGATTTACAGCAGATTTGTGCTCGTGAAGATGTGCAACTAGTAGCCCTTTAGGACGCCACCCTGAGACAAAGCAAAAGTGTATCTTAGACTGTGGTTGTGACACACGGTAACCTATCACCCTCTGGCTACAATTATCGACAACTAACTTCGGAGCAATCGTAAGAACTAATTGGTGAAAAGGTCCCCCAGCTAGCCCATCCAGAGGGGTCTACTGGACTGTGTATGACATGTTACTGACTAAGGTACCAAGGCAGCTGCTCAAACAGCTTCAGAAAGACTCCACACCTGGGGCCCTTTTCAGTGTTTGAGAGATAGAGCAGCCCCTTACCCCTCGGAAAACCACTGCCTGCTGATGTAACAGAATGATCATCCTAGCCTAGACAAACAGCTTGCAGGCCACTTTCTGAGAAAGAAACTTGCAAAACCCCAGCTTGGGACACTAGAGTGAGTCAGGCTTTAGCTGGACTTCACCAAGCTTTCAGCGTCTCAAATGTAACATGGGGATATACCACTTAGCCTAAGGGGTGGGTATGCACATAAATAACATGTGTGGGTCCAACACTGCCCAGACTACACGATCACCCAGATGTCAGCTGGGCACAGTGGCATACGCATTTAGTCCCAGCACTTGGGAGGTTGAAAAAGTGAGTCTCTTTGAGTTCAAGGCCAGCCTGGTCTCATAGCAAGTTCCAGAAGAGCCAGGTTACTTAGACCTGTACCCAAACAAAATGAACAAAAAAGGCAAAATGTCCAGATTGTTAATTTCTTCTTTGTCTGCAATCACTTCTTCTATGGTATAAACACACTAGAAATAGAAATTACAGCCTCAGAATCTACATGGACTTCCTAGTACTTTTAAGATAGAACCTTACTTTTCTGTATTTTATTATGCATATTTCTTTTGTGTATAATTAATTTCCCCAAAGTTACAAATTATGAGACCAACAATCATGTCTCATCAATGACCTCAGTGCTCAGCATAGGTCCCTGCACATAACTGTGGTGGTGCATGCCTTCAATCCCAGTACTCAGGAGGCAGAGGCAGGCAGATCTCTGTGAGTTCGAGGCCAGGAGGTCTACAAAGTGAGTTCCAGGACAGGTTCCAAAGCTACACAGAGAAACCCTGTCTCAAAAAACCAATAAAAAAAAAAAAATAAAGAAAGAAGTTGAACCATAAATATAAAGAGAATGTTCAATAGCAGAGCACATAGGATAGTGCCTTGTTAAGTGATGTAAGTGATTTCACTGGATGTTATGTTTGAATATATCACATGTAACTACCTGTTAAACAAAATAAATATTTCTTATCATAGATAAATCATATAAAAAAAGAAAAACCAATAAATAAATAAATAAAATAATTCATAGCTTGTACAAATTAAATAAAACATTGTATACAGTTAATATTACTTAATTTTAAAATAAACCAAAAAGTTTTGCTAAAAATCAGACCTACAGTGGATGTCATCACTGTGCCTGAGTGGTAGCAATGTCATTTTTGAATGATTGTTTTTCTTACCAAAAGGCAAAAATAAAACCAAGATTCCTGACAAATGTGACTTACTCAACATTAAAAACGAAGTTTCCTCTTGCATTGGTAAGTTGCCCCCGTGGGAACACAAAAGCTAAGAAGGATATTCTCAGTCTGAGGGACCATGAAGTCTACAAGAGCTACAAGTTAGGCTGAATATTTTATACAACCACTCAAGTGTGGAAAGAAGAAAAAAAAAAGTTCAACAAACACTGCACATTTCTATGGTTACTGAATAAAATGTATAACTCCATTTATGTATGAAATGCCACCTGTGAAGAGGATTATAACACAAGATTGTGAGTAGTCATATTTTTTGTTTTTAAGCAGATCTGGTAGGTAGGTGACATTAGCTTACATCATAGAAACAGCTTGAAGATTCCAGGATATTTGTTTTGATAACAGCATCTGACTAGACTCCTTAGCACTTCAGTATTCTCTAAATGTTCTTCAAGTGCCCTCCACCAGTGCTTCCTGAGACCACAGCAAAGCTCACAGGAATTCCTGCGAGCTCTTCACAGTCTAAAGGTAAATACACTATGCATTTCTTCTGTGTTAAGTAAGTTTCTACTATCACAGCGGAAATACTGAAATTCACTAATTTTTTAAAAATCTACAACAATGAACCAAAGAGCAGCCTGCCACACTACACAAAGTGGGCTGCTAATACAAGTGGACCACATCCTGAGCCCAACACGCTCTCCAGTTCTATTAACCCTCTCAGAAAACAGGAGCTGTTTTACCAAATTCTTTAAAAGTTTTGTGGGGTTTTGTTTTTGTTTTTTATGTGCATGGGTATCTTAGCTGCATGTCTGTGTACCACATACATGCCTGGTGATCAAGGAAGCCAGAACAGTGAGTCAGATCCCCTGGAACTGAGGTTATAGATGGTTGTAAGCCATCATGTAGGTGCTGGGAATCAAACCCGGATCCTCTACACTACAAGAGCAGACAGTGTTCTTAACTGCTGAGCCATCTCTTCAGACCATTTTGCCAAATTCTTACTGTTGGTGATTAGCTAAATGCTGGCACTGTGAGTTACTCTGTTCTTTTCAACAGTCTCCATATTTTCTGAATGTCCTAGCTTTTCTTCAGTAATAACACTATCAGAGGGTAAACTCCACAGTGATTAAAAGCAGGGGTTCACCCCTAGAAACCTCATGTTCATCAAGAGGCAACGTGAAAGTGGGGGGAGGTGTGACACCAAGACAACACACCACAGCCCGCACAGCCGGGAAAAGGGACGCACACACAGGCTACATTAAGTGCCGGCCTGAACGCAGTACTGCAAGTCGATCAAAGCTAACGATGCCAAGTCCACACACACTGACTTCAGGTTTCCTACCCATTGCCTCCTGCTCTGGGCTGCTTCTCCTTCTGGCTATTAAAAAGCACATGCTGCCTGGTGCAGGCTCCCTTTCCAAGGCTCTCACGAGCACAAGTGTTCCAGATGTCGGAGGTTTCATGTACCGCCCTAACCAGAGCTTGTCATCAGAAATGCTAACAGTCCTTAACGCTTGAGCTGAGGATTTTGGGTTTTTGATTAGGGATGCTTAACCTGACTCAGTTCCCACACCAGAGCCCAGGCTTGGGGTCGAGGCAAGGGAGCAGGAACACGAGTCCTCACCAGGTGGCGGTGGCTTGCTCTCCCACTCAGCGTTCTCCATCATCTGCTTGGCTATGCGCTCTGCATTGCACTGCTCACGCTTCTGCTGTATGAGCTGCTGAAGTTCCGTCTTGCAAGTTGTGATCCGGATCTGGTAAGTGGACGGCAGGACTGTGCTACTTAAAACCTGAATCACCGGCTTCTTACTGGGGATGTGTGCTACTTCTGAAACCTGCAAAGCACAGTAGAGATCCCTGTGTCACAGCAAGGTATATTTAAGATTAAAATGTTCCCATTTTGCATCTATACATTATACCAGCTTCCTTAAAAAAAAACACTAGTAACCCAGGTGAAAAGAACAAGTGAAATTTCAGCAGGTCTGAGTCAGTTTCTTCTAATGAAAATGTGGCTGGTTGGGTAGTTGTCTTAAGTTACAAACTCACTTCAAATACATCAAAGCCATTATAATATTTAACATGCACAGACAATCCGGAAACCTACCCCCAAAATATTTTTGGTTTTTGTTACACTGAAGGAAGAATAAAAAGATGTAAACTGTTCTCTGTAGCCTAATTATGATCTCGGTTCAGTCTTTAACCCAATTTCAATTTGCTTTATTGGCAAGTGTCTCAAATGAATAGACTTCTCAGTGCTTAAGGGACTGGATTTCCCTTGCTATAAAATTAAACCGATCTCAGAAACCATCTTGCTTGCTCTACAGTACACAGCCTTTCAACACACACAACAGCAGAACAAAACACAGACATGAGGAGGACTATAGCCTACATGACAGTACCTGTGGAGAAGTTGACAAAGGGACACAAATAGCAGCAGAGGACTCAGAGCGAGGTGGCTTCCCAGTCTGAACCACCTCGTGGTCACTGGTTTTAGGCAGGGCCTGTGGTATATTCGGTGGTTCCAGTGACCCAAACATGCTTTTCCATTCTTCATTTACATTGGAGTCTTGTTTTACATGTTTTCTAGCTATGAAAATATATTTGGGATAGTTAGTCTGAAGGTAAAACCAATATGATTTGACTGTTACACAATGGATCTTACTTCCTGTGTGTCCTTTGGGGCTCCATTTTATTCAGCTCTATGTCCCTGTATGCACGTGTGGAGATGTGGGATGTTCAACTTAGAATCTCAGCATATAGAAATATTTATTCACCTACAATTTTGCCAACACTAGGAATTGTCCATCTACATTGATCCAGGTAGAAAATGGATATTTTAATTTGCATTTATTTATTTATATTTCATTTATATGTATTCTATCCTACCAATTATTTGCTTAAATCCTTCACCCTTTTTCCTTTGGAGTGGTGGATTTTTTCTTATTAATCTGTATTGGTGCCTTTATATATAATGCATGTAAGCCATTAGTAATTGAGTTGCAAACACTTTATCCCAAGCTTATTTCAATGTAATTCATTTGCTGCCTTAAAATATGATGTAGGAACAGGGGGATTTCAAAGGCATATATTTAAGTGAACTACACCTGCAGAAAGGGTGTGCACACGATCACACGAGCCTCACGCAATCGACGTCACTGCCACAGGAGACGATAGTTCCAAATATCAAGTTGCCAAATGACTAAGGATTCTTTGGGCTCTACTCTTCTGTTTCATTGTTTATTTTAAATTCATCAGGCATTACCTACTCTAGACACTGGTTTTACACAGGCTGGCCTCGAGTTAGCAGTTAAAGGGTTAGAAAGCAGAGCCTGAATCACCCCTTCCTCAGGAGGCAGCACGGTCTTCCAGGTGCAGAGCTCTGGAGACGGGCCTCCGTTTGACAGCTGTGACCTGGACAGGTGCCCTGGGCTCTCAGTTGGGACTGCACTACCTGACCCTTCCTCTCCTGTGTCTACTTGTTAAGTAACTGAGTCACTGCATCCAACGTTCTCTATCTGGGAAATGGGGGGAGGAGGGTTGTATTTACTCTTTATTAACTAATACCAGCCTTATAACTAATAACAACATGATGAGCACACCAAGGTACTAACCCCGTTTCTCATCTGGTTCTTGTTTGGTTTTCACAAGATCGACCTGTCTCCCAGTGATGCCTAAGGCTGCCAAGTCGATTACACCTTTCTGGCTGCTGTCATGGAGATGGCTCTGGTCCACTGCATTAGCTTTCGCTCTGTTGGATTTCATCATGAAGTCCTTCAGTGCCAGAAGTTTATCTTCCTCTTCTTCGGTCATTCCCTGAAACCAAATTAAACCATGTATTTTGGGTTAATTTCAAAAGTAGAAACAACAGGTCTCAGGATGACAAATAAATGAAGGTTCAACTCCCAATTTAAACTGAAAAATGATAAAATGAAGCAGGAAAACAAAGAAGAAAAGATCACGACTGGCTCTTCTAGAAAACTCTGCTAGGGTCATTTTCTCCAACATATTATCTTTACATCTCAAATCCCATTGATAATGCTGTATTATAGGTTCTATAACTTCAATAAGGCAAGGGAAACAGATGTTCAGAATGAGACAGAAATGAATAGTCAACAACTATTTCATACATTATTCAACTGGGAATTACAAAAAATCAAAAGAGACACCCAAGCAAATTATTAGAACTAAGATGTTTTATCAAGTTTTTTAAGAAGTATTTTTTGAGTTATTTTGTGAGTGTTTTGCCTGCATGTGTATATGCACGCGCTCCACAAATGCACGCCCGGTGTCTGCGGAAGTTAGAAGAAGGCGTCTCTTGCTCTACAACAGTCTTAAATGCTCAGCCATGTCTCTAGCCCTTTGTGAACCTTTACAACGTCCATACAAAAATTTTCTACATCAGCTATAAGAAGAAAATTTTAATATTCCAAATAGAATTGCAATTTTTAAAAGCAAACCCAGGACTGGAGAGGGGGCTTGGTGGTGAAGAGCATTTGCTGCTCTTCCAGAGAACCCAAGTTCAGTTCCCAATGCCCACGTCCGCTGGCTCCCAATTGGCTCTGACTTCAGCTCCAGGGAACATAGTGCCCTCTTTTGGCCTTCACAGACACTTGCACACATGATACACACTCACAGACCGAAACACACACATAAATAAAAAAAATGTAACTAAATAAATAACATTTAAAAATCAAACACCCGTGCTAAGCATGGGGGTTTGCCCCTGTAATCCCAGCACCCGGGAGGCTGAGGCCCAAAGACTGGAAATTCAATCCAGCAAGATCCTGACTCAAAAAGAAAAACTAAACAAACACTCAAAGTATTCACAATAAACAAAGATCAAAGCTCTGCAGCAAAACCCAGAAGACATCACTGAGGTCAGTACCGATGACCGTACAATGGGAACACACACCAGGCCCTAAGGACCAGCAGACTTAGCACTGCTGGACTTCAGTTCTTTCCTACAGGCTCAATGCAGTATCAAAAAACACACCAACAGGCCAATTTCATTTTATGAAGTGTGATTTCGGAAAATGCATAAAGAACTGTGTATGGAAATGTAAAGGACCAGGCATAACCAAAACAATCCTGAAAAAGAAAGAAAGGAGAAGGACTTTGTTCAGTCAGAACCAAGGCTAAGCTACAAAGCAGTACCTATCAGCACTTAGCAGATATCTGCTGCCAGGCTGACAGAGTAGCACTGCCCATCCAGTACTAACACAGCTAGGCTTCTGGGGACGGCCTGATGGGGGACGGTACTTACTCATCCTGCATCTAACATGCAGCAGGCGTCTGCTGCCAGGCTGATGGAGTAACAGGGACAAGATTCACCTCCCCACTTCAAACATGCTTAGAAGTGGACGGAAAAATATGAAATGACACTTCAGGATGAGAAAACAGGCGGCCCAGGGTTACGATCCCCAAGACGGAGATGAATGAGTCCTGCTCCTGCAGCTGTCCAGAATCCTTTCTGGAGAGTTTCCAGACCATGAGCATGGAAAAGGGACCCAGCATACAACAGATCCCAGCTCAAGAATATGCTACAAAAGTTAATGCAGAAGGGGAGATGAGTGGAGAAAACAGATACACACAGTGAGTATGTCAGAGGGCTGAGGTGGGGTGTCCTCAACTCTGGCTGAAAATTAAACTACACATGCATACAGAGACCACCCAGGCCAGGGGAAGCGCAACAGCAAAGCGGCAAACCAATAATTCCCACAACAGTCCAAGTTTCTATCTGCCAAAGGTGAAAGAATTTTCAGAAACACAGACCACTGTGTGTGTGTGTCCACAGAGCATCATGTCAGTGAGACTTAAGGGGCTGTATAAAGTATGCTCTGGACCTGTCCTTACAAAGCCTGAAAGCCAGGCTAGAAAGGATGGAACAGATTCCAAGTGTCAACAGACCAGGCCCAACGTTCTGTAAAGGAATTCAGCACCAACAACCTGAAATCCACAATGACCAGAGCAAGGTTAGATGGAGGCCACCTGAGGGACTACAGAAAAACTCGATTTTATTATGCATCTTCTCAGGCCGCTTCAATTTCACACTTGTATCCACACAGTCAAAAATTACTAACATCAAAATCCAGTCAAAAGTTTAAAATGTATTTTTTAAGTAAGGAGTGGAATGAATCATCCTGTGTCCTTTATAGCCCCTTATTAAATGGATACAAAACAGAGCTCTTCTAGATGAGATCTAACTAAAGCATTCCCGAATGTGTCACCTCCTGCTGACACATCCTGCTGGAGAGATTCCAAGCCCCACATGACTGCTGTTCCAAAGGCATGTTCAAGCCTGCATCTCAGCCGCAGAACACATGCCCCCACAACAGCAGCACCAGGCTCTCCTAGGGAAGCCACTCCACCAGCCACACACCTCAAGTACAGAACTGTACAAAGAAGGGCTGAGCCCCAAGATAAAGGAGTTCAGAGCTCCCACTGGGAGAGGCTACAGCTCTCTTTCTCTTTAGCCCGGGCATTAGGAACTCAAATTCTACCTCCAGAGTCTCCCCAGGATCCAAGCCTCTGCTAGTGATGCTGGGAACCTAAACAGAAGACAGGCTAAGACCAGGGGGAAGGAGTAAACGTGGAGAAGAGGGCCGCTACACACAGGCTTCTTCATGCATCTGTCAAACTCAAACACGCCTGCATCTCAGGCTTCCTTCTCTAGAATCCGAGCAGGGGATAGCAGCAGTGATGGGTGCAGGGTCAAGTGTCAGCTTGAAAACACCCTGCGCCCTGAGAGCGCCCGCAGCTGCACCACGTCTCTAACTATAGCACAGACATAACAATACAAGTCGCTCGCGCTGGCTTTAAGGACGGCCACAGAACACAGAAAGAACAGACAGCAGCAGACTCATCGTGTGACAAAATGGAAGCTAGTGGTTTCTGTCCTTTGTACTGGGCACTTACATTCTGGTCTGATCTCACTTCTGCTGGCAGCAAGTGCCCCTGTAACAGAGTGTAAATCTTAAATCTCCTCACCCTTTGAGCCTCCTAATGCTATCAACAGCAACAACTTAAGACAGGCTAATGTGTTCCTCTTTCTCCACTCAGACACATGTGACGAAAATGACAAATACGCCAAGCACTGCCTTTCCGAGGCACCAAGGTCAGACAGTCAGTGATTTTATTGCCGATCCAACAATGGGAGCTAACACTGAGGGAGTGGCGATCGTGGAGGACCTGGGAAAACAGCAGGACCAGGAAGACTAAGAGAAGTGGGGGGTGCTTCCCAGTTCAATTCCTAGCAACAGCTTCATCAGTGAATATTCAAGGTCAAGTAAAATACATGAACACATTTCTACTACAAAGCTCATCAAACTCTGAGGAGCCCATTGTGTTGTGGCAAGTGCCTTTAATCTCAGAAGAGGTACGGAGATCTCTATGAGTGTGAGACCAGCCTGGTCGACGTAGTGAGGTCAAGCCAGCCAGGGTTACACAGCAAGTCCCTGTCTTAAAACACAACCTCTCAAACCGAGTGGTTTTTTTTTTCAGGTGAGACATGGCTGGTAAGCATTCTCTCTATGAGGACACTCTGCAGAGCGTATGGGGGTCATCCCTAGTCTTTGTTCTCTGTTCATGGAGTACCAGCAATTACAGTCTTCACTCCGACTCTGACTCCAGGTCCCACACATTCCACATCAAACAGAAAGATGAACCTAATTTAGTGTATCGAAAAGGCCCTACCAATGCCAAATGAAGTACAAGGGTTTTTATTAGAAATTTTTGAGTTCTTATGGGATTTGTTAATTGATCCAAACTCAGATGTAAACATAACAGTAAACCGCTGGCTTATTCAACTGAAGACCCAAGGTAATGCAGCCATTTGCACAGTAAGAAGTCTGAGTGTGGACTGGGATAAGAGACTCTATTGTGTCTGTGTTCTGAAATATTTCTTCATTATATTTGGTAAAGTAGAACTGAACTAAAAATAGTACTTAAGTTCAAGGCTCTTTCTGCTCTCGCAGCAATCACAAAAGAGAGCTGACAGTTCTCCCGTGACTCCTTAGTTAGTCTAACTCGGTGTTTTAGGTTAAGTCTGTTGTCTTTCCTTAGATACCACAGAGAATACACAAGATGCTAACAGGCAGATTTATTTTCATTTCTCATGATAGAACCTAATCAAAAACATTTTTAACATCTAAATAGATGCTTCAACACTGTCGTGAAACCTGTTGACATGTAAGGCCTGAGGAAGGCGCACACCTGTGAAAGCAGTTTCTTCAGAAGCTGTGCTATGGCGGGGTCCTCAGGTGGAGGGCAGTCGAGAAGAGAGCCATGTCGCTTCTTCTGACGCATGTGAAGATGTCTGAACAAGCTAGTGATGTCCTTAGACCTCAGAGCATAATCAAATATAGAGCGACTCACGGGCTCTTTTAGAACACTGAGCAGGACAAGCTTCCTTTCGATCTATATGAGAAAAGTAAAGGACAATTAGTTCAAACCACAGTACATAGAACAGTTACTTCCAAACCTAGTAAGCACAGCCTGTGCAGAGTTAACGAAACCATTGATTTTCTAAGAAAATAATGTTTTGTTTTGTTTATGAGGAGATAAATAAGACACTGGCCAGCGTTAAAGACCTAAGTGTTTTCCTGTCTTTCAATATTACCACTAGAGTACATATCTGTGTCTACTCCACAGAAGACTAATAGTAAACACCCAAAGGCAAAGGTTTCAGAAAGTCAGAGCAAGCCATTCCTGGATCTGCAGAGGTCAGAATACTTCCCAGACCTACAAGTCCACACTCCCACCCCACCCCACTCCACCCTGCCGCACCCCATGGTTCACAGGTCCAAGACACAGGCGCTGGCCAGAGATCCAAGTAACCACTGCATGGGGCCTCCCTTCAGTTACCACATTTCCCTGAGAGATCCAAACCCTTCTGCAAAATATTCTCTCCAAGTTCAAGACTTCTTTCTCTTAGTGGCCTAGAACACTTTTCTGGTCAATGCACATATAATAAAAAGGATGGACACTTCCAGCAGTGACCAAAAGGACTTGTTTTTCCTGTCAATGTTGGGATACAGAAGTCAGGTCTTTGACTGAAGTCAGGTAGGCAAATGCTCTACCACTAAGCTATATCCCAGTCCCTGGTTTTATGAGACAGGATCTTACTATGTAATTCACACTGACCTTAAATTCTTTAGGTAGCCCAGGCTAGCCATGAACTCACAATCCTCCTGCCTCAGCCTCATGGGAACTGACACCCATGACAGTGTGCACCACCACACCCAGATCTAAAGACCGTTCTTTGGATATAATTAACTATTGCAGCTGGAACTTAAAGGGTCCTTTTGTCTAATCTTAAATGAAGAAACAAGGGCTGGAGAGATGCTCAGCAATCACAAATGCTTACTGCTCTTCCAGGACCTGAGCTGGGTTCCTAACACTCATGCTGGGAGGCTCACGACCACATCTAACTCTAGCCCCAGGGGATCCAAGGCCTTTTTCTGGCCCCTGAGAGCACTGTATTCATGTGCACAAACCCACACTGGGACACACACATAAACTCAAAACTAAAACTTTAAAAAAGTTTACATTTTACAATGAAGAAGGATTAGACTTATGAAACATGAATAATTAGCCTCTCAATTATTGATCCTGGCTTTGAAAAATATAAATCAATGATAATACAAATAATAAATTGAAAAATATAAATCAATGATAATACAAATAATAAATT